TGCCTCTTAGCTCACAGTTTTTGTTCATTGGCTGCACACAGAATGTATTGTTTAGCTTAGCAACTTCATGAGGGAGATTCATGTTGCCCTATCTGCTGTATTTTTTTTTTTTTTTTGCTAGCATGTTAATGTATAAATATAGCTGTCTCTAATAATGACCTTCACCAACACAACAACAAACTTTTAAGACCACTTTAAAGACATTACGTATTTCCAATTGTCCATCCTGGAAATTGTCTTTTTCAAAAGGATAGACTTGTAACAAAACGTAGTAAGAGCCTTTGTGTCAGTCTGTGAGTTTGTTTCTGTCTTTGTCTCCTGTTTCTTTTTTCTTTTCGGTTTCTTTCACAGTTTCTGTCTCCCTCCTCTATCTTTGTGGATGCTTGTCTATCTGCCTTTGTCCATCTCTTTTGTGTCTTTTTCCATTTACATGGCTCTGTGAAGTCAGCCTTTGTATTCTACTGCGAATATATATATATCTCTCAGTCTTCTTGTGCCTCCTGTCAAGCGTTATCTCACTTTCACTCTGTCTGCATTCTCCGAAGTAACTCCATTTTTTTAATGAGTAAAAAATCTCAAACTTTATGTTTTGTGTTTTTTTCTTTTTACCTCTTACCTTACTCACAGTTTGTCATTCCCATTTTCTTTTTTACATGAATGAGATATTCCCATCCAGTTTTTATGTTTTGATCACATGTAGTTTGGATTTTGTTTTGTGTGTGTTTGAGATTTGCTGTCTCTCCTTTTATTTGACAGTGTATTAATGTGCTTAAGCAGACGCACAAAAACGCACACTTGCACAACATATGTGACAACGAGCTATGTACACACACACACACACACACACACATCAATTCAAACACACTTTTGTTTGATTAGGCTTTCATATGCTGATGATTCTGAAGTACATGGATGCTGATTTTTCTCTATTTCTCATTTATTAATAAATTTCTCTCAATCATCCTCTATTTTTTCCGCCTTCACTCTTCCCTCTCCCTCACTCTAACTCTCCTATTCTCTCTCTCTCTCTGTGATCATTTTTCACGTTTCAGATTGTGGCCTTGTTGATGGGTGCTGAAAACATCAACTGACTTTGATGTTTGATGTTTGCTGTTTGTGTGAGTTTGTCTCGCTCAGCCTAGGGTTTGAAGGTAATAAGAGGTATGAGATATGAGTGTGTGTGTGTGTGTTTGTGTAGGGCAGAGCAGGGAGAAAAAATCCCAAAAGCCTCTCTTTCCTTTTGGCGATTTGCAGGTTTGCGAAACCTTGACAGTTAAATAAATTTACCGCAGTAGCATTTTTTTTTTTTTACTCATGTTTATTGTTATTTTGAAAAATGCTAGCCAGAGCTCAGCTAAGAATACTAGAGGTGTGTATCTATAAGTGTGTGTCAGTCATGCTTAGCAGCTGAATATAACCGTATAAAAGCCAATAAACTGAAAAAATGCTTTCATATGATTGAGAGCAATTCCATGTTACTATTTTCACTTCCAGATTCTTTACAGTCTCACCTACGTGACCAAAAGAAACATTAAAGGAAACATATAAAGTCGTATGAAGTCTGTCTGGGATCCATTTTCATGATTGTTTTTTAACGTTTTATAGCATTCAATTTATGAACTCTCAAGAATACAGACTGTGAGATTTGTATGTCTATAGGTGGCAAGAGATGGAAAAACAGCTATGCCTATCCAATCTTGTCACATCTATAAATTGTCAAGGGTGAGGATTATATCATTCCACGTCAGCGCAGAGATGATGAGAGAAGAAGTTAACAAAGCACTCATTCCAATCCAATCACGTCCAACTCTGCGATCTATAAACTGTCAGGACTATGGACTATTTGACAACGATGTCTAAATGGAGGTGAAGAGAGAGAGATGGAGAGAGCGATGGTGCCAATCCAATCTTGTCAGATCTACAAGCTGTCGAGTGTGGGTTACGCTCTGTGACAACCATATCAACCACATCAATATTATGGAGGTGAGGCGAGAAAGAGGATTATATGATGACAGCATGATTTTGATATTTATTGTGTTCGATTTGTGTGACTAGGAAGTTGCAAGTTGAACACAGATTGTCGCTTTTACTTCTCTACCATGTAGTTGACTTTACAATTTGTTCTTTTTGCTTTTGTGTTTTTTCAATGGCTTAATGACCACAGTATATTGTACATGACAAGAGGCCAGTGAACTTACACATAGGTTTGATCACAGACTGTGTGCAAGAAATTATACCTTTTTACATATGATATATATGAATATGAAATAAGAATAAGAAGCCCAATTTTTCAGTGTTTCATGTCTTTTGATAGCAACAATACAACATGGTACTGATATTTTAATATAGTTATCCAAGGTCCAGTATGAGAACATCAGCAGACTTAACGTCATGAAAAAAAAAGACTAAAAGCGAGAGACAGACAAAGAGACTGACAGACAATTTGTTCTTGTCCTGCCTTATCAGATCTACAGCTGTCAGGGCAGCGTGCAGTCGATAAGTTGTCTATGATGAGAAGGGCTTATAGGCCGTGATGGCTATTGCCCCTGACAACCACCGCCCGCAACAATAGATGAGACAGATAACTGACATTAGAAATATATATATTGAGAAAGAGACAGACTGGCATGGTGCTCATGACCACTCAATCGTATCGGATCTTCAGTACAAGATCTTGGTCTGGTGAGTGGAGGCTGTGGCTGACAGATCTCTCTCTCCACCACTTCTGGCATGTCAGAGACAATGATGGGAAGAGAGAGAGAGAGAGGGAGAGATGATGATGTATGAGAGCAATATTTGACATGACTGAGGGATAATGTATGATATAGAGAGAGGGAAGAAGGGCGGGTTATAGGCTTGTTAGGTGCATTATAAGATCAATGCGATGAATGTCTAGGACGAGAAAGGCAGTAAGAAAAAGATATACTTCTTTTAATGTCTGAACCAGTGAAGAATTTGTTCATATCATCGAACAGGGAGATACACATGTACCTGGTGAGGCCTGCATCTCACTCCTTCCACTCCTGTACAGAACCAACTTTGACAAAACTGTCAACAGTTGTTTCTGCAGCTGGATCTGCATCTTTTGTGCACTACAGCTCTCCTCTTAGCATAGCACAGTAGATTATTATTTATTATTACTGACCTATTCTATCTGAGTACAATGACAGTCAATTGACGCCATGATCTGACCACAGCAACATTATAATTTACCTTTTTTTAAAAGCAATCAGAAACTAAATAGTTTGATCACAACTAGACCATTTCCTGCGCAGTGTCACGCCAAAGTGTGTAATAGCCCCACTGCACTAGAGAATACCATGTCAGTGTCACATTCTGCCTCGCCTAGATGTGAAAACTACACGTGTATGAAGGTGCAGTACCAGCAGTAGTGGCTTGGCGGAGGGCTCAAACACATTCAGGACTTTCACCCAGTAGATGGATGTTCTTTCTGTGTTCTGTGTGAAACGTAGAAGTAGCCTAAACCTAACCAACCTGCGACCTCAGCAAGCTTAATTTTGAAAATGTATCTTTGCATATATTTAGCATATTGCATATCTGTTATTGCTAACTTGACTGAGGAATGAGCATGAAATATAATTGTGACACTGTGTGTGTATTACACACATTGGCATGATACCAGGTTATTACATCATACCATGAAAACAGCAAAGACATAACCAGATTGTGCTAGATACATTTTCAACATTTATCCAGCAGATTTATCCAGTTTGAAAAGAGAAGAAGAGAAAAATAAGAAAATGATGCCCTTGGCTTTTAAATAATTTGCATGTGAGTGTTGATGCTGCTGTGGAAATACAGTTTGCCATAAACAGTCAAGTCAGAAAAACAAGTGAATTGAGAGAGGGGAAGAAGGTGACTTGAGACAGACAGAGGAAGAGAAATGTAAGAAATAGAAACTGTGAAAGAGACAGAGAGTGGGGGACAAGCATGTGTGTGTGTCTGTGTGGGAGTTAGAAAGGGAGAGAGTGGGCGAGAGACAGAGAGCAAAAGGGCAGAAGTGTGTGAGAGAATGAGACGGATAGACGGGCCGTCTGATTGCCATTTGGCGTTTGACAGACAGAGGGAGAGACCCAGCTTAGGTCACGTCACGATCTGTCTACCAAGTTATATCAGTCTGCCAACTCGGATGCAGAGAGATGAAGATATATAGAGAAAGAGAAGTTAACATAACCTTTCTCCTAATGCAGAAAGAGAGTTTTTTTTTTTTTTTTTACTTTTTATCCTGCAACTTTTTATCCTACAACTGTTTGCAACTTTGACAATAAAGGTCCAAAAGATGTGTGTTGTGGTGCCATAGCAAACACTGATGAAAATGACCAAGTGGCTAAAATGTCTTCTTCTGTAATTGGTTTGTAAGATACTTAAAGAGGCCTTAAAATGGTTGAAAATGGCAAAGACACCCCACTGTTTTAACCAGCATACCAGTCAAAAAGGAGCACATTCAAATCAAGTTCCTAGCAGACCAAATCTCATGGGAACATGAATTTGTGCATATCAATCAATCAACCAATTAACAATTTGCCTCTCTAGAATAGAAAGAATACAAAATTTGGATTTGATGTCCATTATTATTAATTTTCTTGCTATATGATGTCCCAATGCTTGTCATAAATTTGTTTTAAATTATGCTAATGAGAAATAGTGGCAAATATTGGCTTGATTTTATTTACCAACTGTCAGCACCAACCAGTCCATATGAGAACCTGGTCCAAGTAGTGATTATAGAATTATAGATATTATAAAACTATAACTGGCTCAGTGTCATAGGTCATAAATAAAGATTGCAGGATTACATAACAACATAACAGAAACACAGAAAGATAAGTGTAGCAATCTTACCAGTAGGCAGAGCAGGGTCCATGGTGGGTTTTTCCCAGGAGTTGACTTGTTCCCAGGTAAATCCATTGGTTCCAAGAGAAACGCTGTACCCACAGCTGCTGTATGAATCCTCAAATGTACAGCCACCTGAACAAAGAGAGAAAAGGCTCTATGAATTCACAGATCACACACATTTTCACTGAGCAAAGAGTTTGGGATTTAGCATCTTGTACAATTCAACAAGGTGGGGTTGAACCACAATGCGTCATCAAGGAAGATGTGGAAAATTATTTGGACAAAATCATGCACAGAAAGCTCTCCAAATTAGGCTGGACAAGTAGACTTAACCCCTTTATCAATCTCACAACAGCACAACAGGAAAAATAAGAAGAAAGTGGAAAGAAAGTGATTCTTAAGAACTCTCACATATTGCCTAAACATAATAGCATCAGAACTAAAGGGTTCTGAAAATTTGTATCAAATACATTGAACAGATATTTCAGTCCTGATTGACTTGGTGACAACTGTTGGTCACTGATGGTAAAAGCAAGTGTATTGACCACTGGGGGCAGCAAACAAGCCTTGAGGAACAACTCTGAAAAATGTAAAAGAGTCACATTGTTTTGACTAAAAAGACAGCTAACAACTACAACTACTACTACTAACTACTACAACAACTATGCTTCCTCTTCCAAATACCCATACATCATCTGTATTTTTCACATTAAATGCATTACATTATGTCCAGCATGCATGCATCATTGTGACTGTGAACCCTTTGTGCATTGGTATGCAATTTGATTTTCATATGGGAAAGGCGGACTCCACCAGTATCAATTAAATCAATAAAAACTATAGAGATGAAATAACATAATGCAAATACATTGATTGGCTATTGACATAAAGAATTTGATGGGGTTTGATATAATGAAAGTTTTTCAACTTCTGTTATTCACCATATCTTTGATTAAATTCTACACCCCAGTACATATTTTAAAACACATCTTTAATCCCTTCTAAAATGTTTGAATTTCTAAGAAGTTTTTTTTGTTTTGAAAGCAGAGCTTTTATAAGCTGCTCGGGTGTTGTTAACAATATTAAACTAATTAAGTTATGAGCATGAATTGAAAGAGCCAGTGCAAAACAGACACTGTCACAGTTTATCAGAGAAGGGAAGAGAGGAGAAGAAAGAGAAGGGGGGAGTGAGAAAAATAGAACGAGAAGGAGAGAGAGTATGCCTTTATGTGAGACAGAGAGTGAGGGGCAGATGAAGAGGAATCTCTGTGTGTCAACATGATTAAGTCACAGAGTCTCATCGTTATTTCATGGCCCGGCTGAGACACATTTTCCACCGCATTAGCCTTCTCTGCTAGCCTAGAGCACTGCACACACACACATCCACACACATAACTGCGCTTCCCTAATTAGACATATGCTTTGACACACAACCATTTTAATTTGTTTTGAAGCATTTGAAATGGGGGAACGTCATTGCTTTATTCATGAAATCACTTAATGCTTACTTTTTTATCTGCCTCTTTAATTGTTGCTGTCATCTCCCGAGAGCACATTTGTCAGTTTAGACCTCATCAGAACAAAAGAAAAACTTCTTGTCTTTCTGACTTCAACTGCAACATGCTTGTGGATTACAACGAAACCAAAGCCTGAGGACATTAGCATGAGAGCAAAGTCATTCAGTACACTCCAGGTACTACATAATACTAGAGACTTGCTGAAGAAGATGTAAATCAAGGCAATTGTAAGGTAAGTATATTTCGACCAAAAATTAGGAGACCTAAATGTAAAATGCCAAAATAAATCCTGAGAATCATAGAGAAATCAGCAGTATCACATATTAATGTACCATATTTAATTTGGGTGTGTGAATCTATTCACATCATCACCATCATCAGGCCGAAATTGTCCAATACTTTCTCCTCTGTATGTCATGTTTGAACATGGTAAGCATTTAACATCAGCCTTTTAGCATTGTCATTATGAGCTTGTTCCTATGCTGACGTTAGCATTTAGCTTAAACCACCGCTTTGCCTCAGTACAGCCAGTTTGCCGGCTGTCCCGGTTTCAAACTGTCTGAAAAACACTAAAATGTCATGACATTTTCAACATTCACTACCAAATTGTCCTGGTTCTTACCACAAATAAAATAATAATTATACCATTATACTTATTATCAGAGCTTATATAGCTGTTTATCATGCTGTTCTGTCCCACTCATTAACCCAATATAAAACATAAACAATGCACCACACGTCTGAATTCAACAATCAGTGTGTCCTTGTCAAGGCGGTGGCTAGCCTATGAGTCATAGGCAGGTCATAAGCTACGATGCTTATAGCTCTTTCTGATAGAACCTGTCAGTATACTAACAGTTAGCTCGCTGTTAGCTGCCATGCCAAAGAGAAAGTTAGTCTTTTCTAAAGAGCTCCAGGAAGCTTACACTTTTAGAAAAGTACCTGGCAACCAAAATGCTGCATTCACGGCATCCATGGTGTTGAAAGGTTCAGATGGTGGGTGTGCTAAGCTCTGAAATAATTGTCCCCCATCCTGATTAAAACACCTACGGTGCATGTGTGAATGTGCGGCACTTAAGGATCTGGGATTGTGAGTTTGAAAATATGGTCACCCTAGTTATACCAAGAATGTTACATGTTAATGGACACATGATGTAGTTTAGCACCAAAACTATTATAATTGTCTTCAACTTCAGCACTGGTAACATTTGAAGCTTTGGATGTTATCAATGATGCAGCAATCCGACACAATCTCAGATAAAATATACAGAACAGATACTCTATGCTAACCTATTGTGTGTAACACTGTTAATAAATCACTCTTCTTAAGTCTACTTCCTGTTACTGTACTTTGCTTGACCCTCTGGCCAGACATTCCCACAGCCAACAGCATATATACTCTAAGATGGAAAATGCAAGAACTGTATGTTATAGTTTTATTATGCCTCTTCAAGCAAGACTTGCATCAACTGGGAAGAAAGAATTTAAAAAAAAGAAAAAAGATCCATCCTATCTGTATTCTGTTTGAAAAACAACCTCCAGCAGTGGGTGAAAACTAGGAAAAACACTATTTTTCTTACAGATATGAAAATAGCTGTTATAAATTAATCAATACTGAGATAATTAGCCTCCTAATATCGCCCCCTCGTTGTTCAGTGATCTCATTAGAAATGAAAAGAAATCAAAGTGATCTCATTAGAACAGAGTTATAAACAGGAGAGGGGGGCTGTGGGGGGATCTAGCATCAATATTCAATATCGGATCTGCAATTTTAAGACCACTATTGGGGGATGAGAGCTAAGGAGAAGTGGCTCACAGCGGTAGGCAAGACTGCGTGAGTGTGTTTGTGTGTGTGTTTATGCCCCTGATCTAGTTTTGAAAATCAGTACAACACCTCCCTCCTCAGTGCCTCATTGACGCAAACACACAAACGTAATTACACACACATGTTCTGTGTCAGAAAATCTGCATAATGAAAACATAACATTCTATATTTCTACTCTGGTGTGATCAGGAATATTGGTGTGAGCTTGTGTGTGCTTCTGTGTGTGCTTCTGTGTATGCACGTATATGTATATGATGGAGAGAAGACTGAGTGTGTGTATGAGTGTTTAAGTTGTAGCGGTAGGGGTTTGTACATAAATGTATGTCACTGTGTAATGTGTGCGTGCATGTATTAGTGTGACACCAAAACAAGCAGAATCCCTTTATCTCTGCTAATTAACATTCCTGTAACCAATATGATAAAATATTGATGACTAGCATGCCTATACAAACACACACACACACACACACACAGAAAAAGAACAACCACCCACATGTGATCTTTATGTAAATGACAACAGCAATGTTTATCGATATATATTTATAAGTTCCCATAAAAACACTCCATTATTGTTTATATTCTGCAGCATTTTTGTTCTGCTGTTTGTCACTGTTTCATCCTCTATTGTCTAACAACATGCTCACATCGAGCTGTCAACTGCTGTAGCAGTTCCCATCACCTAGTGTGAAACAAAGTTTCCTGAAAACACAACAAAATCATCTGGCAGGTGAATGGGAAAAACTCCTTGAACCTTTATTTCAAATGAGTGTGAGATGCTCTGCTCTGATAGTCATGAATGATGGTTGGATGTACACCAAGCAGCAGCCTCTGTGGCTCAGTGAGTGACTGAGTCAAAGTCCATAACACCTCATATTAAACATTTTAACACGTTTTGACTGCACAGGGGTAAATTTAGCTCACCTCAGCAGAGACTGTCTCCATTGTTATGAATATTAAATTACTAAACTAAACTAAAAACTATTTGGCCGGTGTGTTGCTGTAATCCGAGCTGCAGTGTGGGATGGGCCATCAGCTCAGATTGCATGTACATAACAGTGTACAGCTAAGCAGCTCTCTGACATGGTGAAGGTGTTGTCACACCAGCACCAGTCTCTGCAAATGATTCCTCACTTACTTACTCTATTTAAATCCACAGATCAGTAATTGTTTCCTGTTTCCGCTGTCTTACCCTGTAACATCACCTCCTTATTCAGTGCTGAGTGCCTCACATTGCTTACTGTATCTATATATCCAAAAGAGATGCTGCTGACACTAAAACACACTAAAAACCTCTAATTGAAATTAAATTGTGTTGTTAGAACCTGTTTAAAAGTCCAATATCACAAAATGAAGTAGAAGGCAGAGATAGGGAAAAATGGGGATCCGTAACCACTGGAAAGATTATCATCTGGTCGAGATGAGTACTAGCAGTAGAAATGCTGACTGAGTAGCAAAAATCAAAATTAGCACGAACACAAACACTGATTGCAACCCTCCTTGAAACATAGTCTTTGACATGTTTATTTTGGAAAGCTGCAAATGACTTCGATCAACTTTTCACCTTGCACTTGCCAAATGGAATAATTTATCAAAAACAAAGTCCCTTCAGCAGAGAGAGACAGGAGCAGAAATCTGATTGTTGATGGTCCACAGCCAATTAAATATTTAATCTTTGTGAGAGTTTGTTGAACATTTTTTCCTTCTTTCCTGCAGCTCTGTGAATCAAACCTGTGATTCAAGCAACAGAAAAGCCTCTCCAGGCATTCGGTCGGTGTGCTGCTTCAAGCTTA